GAAAGCTGATTTTGTTAATAAAGGTCTGTATTTTTGTCATCGTATTGTTTTATGATTAGTGTATTTTATTTAAGCAGTTAATTTCAGTTTTGTCCGGGAATCTTCATTTATTAACGATAAATATTGTCATGTTTTGATGCCCATCCCTACATGTACATTCAGGCTGACTCCGTTTCAGCCACTCTGAAGTCCTGGTCTGGGATGTATGTGTAAAATGCCTGGTGCTGGTTCCGTGAAATGATCCTTGCCTTCAACAGTTAGCAGGATGTGTGGTTGTTGTGCGTCTCAAAATAGGCCCGAGTGGCGTGTATTGTTCTACCACATGTGTCGACCTACTTTTAGTGCGTTTGTTTATCTCTGTCAGTGCTTGACCTTTCGGCCACTTTAAGATGTGGAAGATGGTGAGAAGTCGGGGTGCGTATAAGACATCTCATGTTCCATATGCCGGGAAGAGAGAGGAGCAGTATTTCTCCTTGCCTGTGCATGCGTGTGTATGTGTGTGGTGGGGGGATATAAATAGCTGTCTTTGAATAGGAGAGCTGCGGAGGGAGGGCTGTGGCGCCAGGGCAGAGCTGAGTGCCAGCGTTACTGGGGAGGGAGTGAGGGAGTAAAGGAGGGCGAGAGAGATGGAGAAACGGGAAGAAACGGAGGGCGGGGCAACGTTCAAGTTAGGCTCAGCCTTCAGAACGGCACTCTGGAGAAATAACAGTATGGAGGAGAGAACTGTGGAACTCTCTTCGTATGATTTATTCATACTCCATATAGTGTAAGTACCTCCACATACCGAGCAGGGCACGGCCAACAGGATGCATTTACCACAGGGGGAACGTAAAGGAGTTCTAGAGTAGGGAGCATAACAGCACTCGCAGGGGTGCAGCGATACACAGTTTTGGGTTATATACGTTTTCCAATTTCAAGATTTTGGGCTGATTTTGTGATTTTTACCTGTTAAAATGTTTTGAATCTTCTGTCAGACTTCTGACTGTATACGGTGCATATACAGTCAACCGATCAGACAACGGTATGACCACCTCCTTGTTTCTACGCTCATTGTCCATTTTATCAGCTCCACTTACTATATAGGTGCACTTTGTAGTTCTACAGTTACAGACTGTAGTCCATCTGTTTCTCTGCATACTTTGTTAGCCCCCTTTTACCCTGTTCTTCAGTGGTCAGGACCACCCTCACAGAGCCGGTACTATTTGGGTGGTGGTTCATTCTCAGCACTGCAGTAACACTGACATGGTGGAGTGTGTGTTGCGCTGGTCTGAGTGGATCAGACACAGCAGTGCTGCTGGAGTTTTTAAACACCTCAGTGTCGCTGCTGGACTGAGAATAGTCCACCAACCAAAAATATCCAGCCAACAGCGTCCTGTGGGCAGCGTCCTGTGACCACTGATGAAGGACTAGAGGATGACCAACACAAACTGTGCAGCAGCAGATGAGCTATCGTCTCTGACTTCACATCTACAAGGTGGACTGACAAGGTAGGAGTGTCTAATAGAGTGGACAGTGAGTGGACACGGTGTTTAAAAACTCCAGCAGCACTGCTGTGTCTGATCCACTCGTACCAGCACAACACACACTAACACACCACCAGTGTTACTGCAGTGCTGAGAATGATCCACCACCCAAATGGTACCGCTCTGTGAGGGTCCATGGGGGTCCTGAGCACTGAAGAACAGGGTAAAAGGGGGCTAACAAAGTATGCAGAGAAACAGATGGACTACAGTCTGTAACAGTAGAACTACAAAGTGCACCTATATAGTAAGTGGAGCTGCTAAAATGGACGATGAGCGTAGAAACAAGGAGGTGGTCATAATGTTATGCCTGATCGGCGTATATCTCAGGTAAATGTTTATGTACTCGTCTGTGTGTCTTTTGTCCATCTGGAAAATTAAGATCTCCATAGCAGGTTGCGTTAATTTCTGAGGATGTGAACAATCTATGTTTCAGACAAACACAGGATATGTGGGTCAGCCCTCTTGCACACACATACAGTACTATACAGGACCCTGAGGCCCCTGAGCACATTGTTTAAAACTGTTTGTTCTGGCCATAGGTATGTGTTTGCTTGTGAAACATCATATCACTTTAAAGTAGGTGCAAATAAACATAAATGCAGTAAAAGGTAACAAGATAATTTTCAAAGAAGCAGTCTTGTTAGCTAGTTTGATGAAAACCTTGGTTCCAGGTTTCTCCTGGACTCCTCCAGCCCTCACATGGATTTCTTAAGTTCTATCGCTAACACACCTGATTTAAAATAAGAAAGTGCTGACTTAACTACTAATAACTACTAATAAAACTGGGCTGCCACAAGGAGAGGGGCGGACATTTAATTAAACACAAAAACATTACATATATAATGACTACTTATTCTACTTATGTTTATTTTGTTCTAATATTTACTTTCCTGAGCACGTGCTTAGACTGCACAGTACTGTACACTCTCAGGAAAAAAAAGGGATGAAACTCTCACTGGGTCAGGACCCCTCTTGTCACTGGGGTGGGACCCTCAAAGGTACATCTCAGTACCTTTAGTCAGGGAACATAACTGAACCATAATCCACTGAAATGATATGTTCTAAGCTGTACTGACTCCACACACCCCGTCTCGTCTCCAGGCTTTTATTTTATTGTTCTGGTTTAAAACATTCGGTTATGAAAAGATACAAATACAAACTTCTCACCTGGAAAAACTTATTGAAGGTTCACAATCAGACCTTAAAACCACTGTTGTAGCTTTGAAGGTACGTTTACACTGTTGGTACCTTTATGAACAGAAAATCTACCTGCACAGAACCTTTATTTCTAACAGTGCTTGTCTAGTTAAAATCAAGTATACTGCAACATTTAGGATTCATCCAGATGCCTAGTATTGATCACTGAGAGACGACAAATGAGAGCATGGCATAAGCCCCGCCCCCTCTGGCCTCTTTAATCTGAATCCTGATAGTTTTGATCATTGACAGTTTACACATAGTCTTTTACATTATTATTACCAGGCATCTCTACCCTTCCTCTAAACCCGGCCTCAATCAGAGTAGAACCGATATTTTAACGTTTTCATTCCTGAGCCAATTACAAAAAATTAAGCACAAATTAATTCTGTTCCTTTTAAATAAGCTGTTAGGCCTAATATAAATAAATAGAAGGTTTAGAGAGCGGATGGAAAGATGACAGATGGGCTTGTATAGATAAGGACGTTCTCGTACAGGTTATGGAATTGATCCAAACACGTTTGGAAGTTGGGAGGTTAGACGTAAACAGTAAGCTGGTTCAAGGAGTGAGTTGTTGCCTTCGTGGAACAAAAAGTAACTTGGGTGTCCAATAAAAGATTCAAATAAGCGTTTCTGTTCCAGAGCAGTCAGGGATGATCACGTTTTTGGTTTCGTTTTTGTCACTGTTCATTTCCAGCTTTCATTTTTGTTCCTCAGCCCTGCTCTGAATAGCTCGTGTGTGGTGGTAAAAATGTAAATAAATACATGCCAGCCTGATTTCGGGCTGATTATTTATCCTTGTTATGATGCGGCATTAAGGCTCTGTTCTGTTTTGGAACCCAGGCAGCTGTGGATTTTTACCAGTAGTGAAGACAAACCACACATCAGTGAGGTTTATCTGGTGCAGAGCTGTCAGGTGTCAGAAGAGGATGTAAATAACAGTGATGGATCAAAGGCGACGTGAATTTGCTGAGTCAAAAAATTAACTCTTGCACTTGTTGACTAATGTGCCGTTTGGCCGAGGTGTAGTTCTGAGTATGTAGCCACAAAGTCTTTGCACAGTATGGCTGCAATTTTCATCAGCACACTCTGCAGAATACGTTGCACATGTTCTGTAAGTGAAGTGTTTAAATGGTATAGTTTTTCAATCAATAATTGTGCACATTTGACCATAGATATGGATGTTGCAATGTAACACTGTATGCTGTATTGGATTACAGCATAGTCTTAGTGTCCTGTGTACGTGCTGATGGCGATATTGATAAAATTCAGCGTTACAGTATTTTCAAAATCAATTATGTGTTCAGTGATAAAGCACATTGTTTCGTGTATTTTGTGTTGTTTGGTGTATTTTGATCCAAAGCAACAAGTAGATGACATACATTCCAGTTAAAGTCCAGGTTCTGGATACCGTGAGTGAAGTGTGTGTGCAGAATAAGATCAAAGGTGAAATATCAAAAAACAAGAAGCTTAACAAGAATTGTTTTTATATCCAAAATTGCAATTTTGTGCAGTTTACAAGTTACAGGAGCCACAGTTTAACCTAATAACAGATATTAATAATTCATTTTATAATTTTTTTTAAATATATTTTTAAACCTAAATAAATGTAACTTAACAATAAGTAAATTGGAGTTCTGTGTTCAAGTCTCTACATAAAAAAGTGGGTATATTGGTGGTCTTGACCAAAAAAAAACAGGCCTGGATCTTGTATTATAGTTAATCGCAAATGAAATCTGATTCACAATATTGGTCAGAAAAATCACTAGATTAGATATTTTCCCCAGATCGCTCAGCCCTGCTTGGAAGAAGTGCCTGTTTTATGTTGTAGACTGTTGTAATTGACATGATGCTTGTTATCTTTCAGTACTTCTCAACCTGGAAATCAATATCACGGTTTATCAGTATCACGGTAAACCACTGTAAACGATATATCGTCCAGCACTGCCTCAGATCTCATCTGTTTAGCAAGCATTTGCTGAAGCTCTGGGTTTTTTTTTTTAGGTTTACATTAAATTGCGTTTAACAAAATGCCACGGATTTGGCAGAGCAATCAGAGCTAACCCACATTTAAAGGGCAGCGCTGAGCGAGTGAAGCCGCCTGCCCATCACCTTCGCCAGCCAAGCTGAGGTGTAATTGCTGGAAATGGAAAGCTTGATGTTCTGCTAATGGGAGCATTGTGTGACTGAGCAGAAATGGCTTTTCTAGGGAGGCCGGCAACCAGGTGCTAATGTTTTTCTCTCTTTTTCCCTCTCTCTCTCCCTCCTTCCTTCTCCCAGACGGTCGATGACGACGCGATGGAGGCGTGAATGTGGTTTGGCGTGGCGAAAGCTGAACGATGCCCAAGGGTGGGGGTTCTAAAACCCCCCAGCTGGAGGACTTCCCACTCAGCACCGACATGGTGGAGAAGCAGGGTGGGAAGAAGGTGAGAGAACCCTTCCTTCGTCTCATCGCTCACTTACGTGCGCACACACCACCGTTATGACCTGCGAAAACCATTATGAGCAGTTAGGAGACAGCCTGGCACTGCGCTGGTGAAAGAGCGCCTGCTGTATTGATTATGATCTAAATCCAGTTCCCGAGAGACACGCGCGCTCCGTCTCATGCACGCGTTACTCCTTCCCTGCTCAACTTTGCTCTGTTAGTAACTAACAGGACACATTTTTAGATTCAATGAAGTTTTGATTCCAAGGATTCGATTTTAGATATTTCATGTGAAAATATCTCTCGTATCTCATCATATACAACACAGACTGGTTGGTTTGAAACACAAATTAAATTTCAAAATAAAAGATCGTGAAGTCTGTGCAAAATAGTGATCCAAAAACCTGGGCTCAACTTCTTCAAAAGCTGACAAATACAGTCACGGTTAACTCGTCTTACGATGAAAGTTTCTTACGCTGAATGTTTCTCGGTTAACCCAAGATTAGATACGTGACCCATGATTAAAATCACTGATGTGCACATAAAAGCATGATGTTTGCAACAAACAGCCTGTTGCAGGGAACATGAGGAGCTTATTTTTTAAAGAAAAAAATTCATACAATGTAAATATGTAGAAAAGTAAATTATAAACTAATGCATTTATAACGGAAGCAATGTTGCCCCTCCTACTGTGTTGGTGCTTATTGATTTATATTCTAGATAATTATGTAGTTGATTTTTCTCACCTGAAAAATGATGCTTTTTACGTGATTGACGCCAAAAACGTCAAGAAGAGCCGGAAAAAAGTGACCCGAAAAGGATCAACCCTCCTCACTCCGAGGGTTGATTGGGTCAGAAATTTGGCCCTGATTGGTCCAAAATCTCGTGCTTCACCTGCTCTGTAGCAGGTTAGGCATACAGCATTAGCTACCATGGTGATGTGTCCTGGTAAAAAGTGATCCGCTGTGGAGAAAATCGGTAGTTTGGTGCTTTGCTTGGTGAGCTGGCCTGGTTTCAGGGCGTCATTTGTTGAGGCAGCGCCCCACCAATTAATCATCACGCCGCACTAAACAGACTGAATTAAACTGAGTAACTGTCTGAATAAAAACTGCTGATAAAAGTGATGAAACGATTTGAATTGTGGCTAGACCTCAATAACAGTGTTTAACGCACCCCTGCTGGCCGTCCCTGAGTGTGGCACGTAGAGCTGCAAAAAGTTAAACTTGATGCGGTCAAGTAGGTGAGACATAATTAATTTCCAAGGATCCAATTTAGCACAACATATCAGAGTGATAGCTAGGTAGCTGTGCCATAGCATACAGTATAACCTCATTTTTGGATGTCAGTTGACAGAAAAAAGCAGCCTGCAGACTTCAGAAAACTCCAAAGTGAGCCCCCAAAGGTTGTATACCTCCAATAACTCATTGTTCAGTTAAACGCAGTGTAACCGCCGCTTGTCCATTATCAGTGTAGCTTGCTTGTACTTGTTAATCTGTCAGTGTATACAAAACCATTGTATTATTTTATTACACGGCGCTATTCAAGCGTCAAAGTGCAATTCACGAGTCATTAAGTTTGATTTATTTTTCGAAATGATCAACCTCCAACTTGGTTATTTATTTATTTATTTATTTATTTATTTTTCCTATCATGCAGATGTATTACCTCTGTATTACCCCACATATGATTTTAGTTCTGGCACCAGACCTCAAAATAGCCCTGTATTGTCGCTGTCCAATAAAGAAATATATCTCCTGTATAGTAACTTTACAGTAGAAGGCATTAATATTGTTATCTTTTGACCATTTTGGACAATTTCTGTTGGTTCCTTCATTTTGAAATTATCGCACATCGTAACGAACAGCTGCTGTATTTAAAGAATGTAGAAAAGTAAAATACTGGAATATGTTTATATATAGTAATGTGGAAAAAATGTATGTATCGTCATGGTTACACCCTCGGTGTCTAGTAGGGGTGGGCGATGGGGCAAAAATATAATGTCACTGCGCTTGAAGTTGCAGTTCACCATACAAGATATGCATCACGATATTTTTTTTTAAATTACTATCAAAAACTATAAAAGTATAATGATATTTCATCAGTATTTTACACGCTGCACTTCAGTAAATCCAACTTTAGAGGACTAAATATGCTCTCATAGAAACGAATCATGTTCCTTACGCAGTGACGATATTCATGATGCATTAAGAAAAGTATGTTGACACGATTTGTCATGATAACGATAACGTTCTGCCGAATCGCCCAGCGTCTGTCTAGTTCCCTGTTCTAGACACTGAAAAAACGTTTAAAGTTCTTTTTTAATAAAAATATATTTGACACACATTTGAATCAGTGCCAAGGTAAATGGCTTAGCCTACATGCGCGTCAGCCTAATGTCACCTTTGATGGATCTCTTCCCTTAAACTCCTTCCTCCACTATATTTGGTCGTCACCAGGCTGACTTTTATCTCCTTATCCTGTTTATTTAAGTGCAGATAGCTTTTACAGTTGGTTAGATGGATGTTTTTCATGCTGGGGAGCGCCATGTTGGAGCTTCGTGTGTTTCTGCTGTGCTGGCGCCGCTCTTTCGCTTCTAAACGCTTTACTTTTGAACGTCTAGCCCCGCGCTAACTGCAGCAGCGGCCCGAGACGCAGGCTGATGAGGTCATGGCAGTGATGGGACCATGCTGCGAAATACGACTCCGGCGTGTGTGCGTATGTACAGAATTCAGTGCAGGATTGCATCAGACACTGCAAGGGGGAGGGGAGGGAGAGAGAGAGCGAGAGCAGGCGAGGGAGAGCGAGTGCGCAAGAGCATTGCTAGGAGACCAGTCACTAAACAGGGCCACTCACGCAGGCAGCTTTGAAGCAAAGCAGTGGCTCACAGCTGTCATTTGATTCAGCCTGTTTTTCTCCATGTGCTGCTCCAGTCCCTCCTGAGTGCACTCTCTGCCTGAACATGAATACAATTATGCTGTTATAAATGGTTTATATAGGATAATTTTATGTATAAATAGTATATTAACAGGATAATTTCAGTACAGTGTCAGTTTTTTTGATGAATGTTTTAAATAAATCTTACTTTTCTGAGCTTTTCTCATTTGCTATATTTCGTGGAAACCACTATTGATCAAAACTAGGAATCTGGGTGCGTCCTATCAGAGTAGACCGTGCAGTGAAGGGGCGGGGCTTATGCCATGCAGGCGCTCACACTCATTTGATTCAGCCTGTTTTTCTCCATGTGCTGCTCCAGTCCCTCCTGAGTGCACTCTCTGCCTGAACATTAGTATAATTATGCTGTTATAAATGGTTTATATAGAATAATTTTATGTATAAATAGTATATTAACATTCTAATCTCAATACAGTGTCAGTTTTTTTTTGATGAATGTTTTAAATAGTGCCTGGAAGTCTTTTCTGAGCTTTTCTCATTTACGATATTTAGTGGAAAACACTGATCAAAACTAGGAATCTGGGTGCGTCCTATCAGAGTAGAGCTTGCAGTGAAGGGGCGGAGCTTAAGCATGCAGGCACTCACACTCATTTGATTCAGCCTGTTTTTCTCCATGTGCTGCTCCAGTCCCTCCTGAGTGCCTGAACATAAGTATAATAACAAATATAATTATGATCTGCCCGAACATAAATATAATTATGCTGTTATAAATGGTGTATATAGGATAATTTTTAGGTATAAATAGTATATTAACAGGATAATTTCAATACAGTGTCAGTTTTTTATGAATGTTTTAAACGTCTTTTCTGAGCTTTTGTCATTTACCGTATTTTATGGAAAACACTGATCAAAACTAGGAATCTTGATGCATCCCATCGGAGCAGAGCGTGCAGTGAAGGGGCGGGGCTTATGCCATGCAGGCACTCACACTCAAATGCTGAGTTTTTTTTGTTTTTTTTTTTTTGAAGGCGCTTTGAAAATACTAGGGGTGATGAATCTGTCAAGGCCGTCTGTGTCGTGTATATAATTAGAGCTCTGTATCAAGACATTTTAACACAGAATGTATGAAAAAGGAGTTGACCATCATATCAAACCTGACAGTTAATATCGTCGATTGTATATTGTCTCCCTAACAATTCACAAAATACATCAGTTGATATGATAGTGGTGCCTCAGTTCAATGTATTTTTCAGTATAGGAAAAACACGGAGTGACTGAACATGTACAGCTTCTGTTTCCGTGCAAGATTTGAAACAAAAGTTGCTCGCGACACAAGCTAGTATGTTAACCCCAAGGTCACATTCTAGTCCCTATACAACTACCTGATTGGATACAATGATTGATATGCTGTGATACAGTTTAATATCAGATGGTGCGTTTTTACATCCCTAGTCATTTCTGGTGTTGCATATTTAAAGTAGAACTGCAATAAAAATTCATAAAATCTGACAGTTTCGTTTGAATAACCATGTTAGTGTCCTATAGCTCTAAAACAGGCGGCTGTATTGACCTTAAACTTTGATTATTAAAGTCACCTGCTGTACTGCAGTCCTGCAATACTGTGGTCAACTGACAAAGACTGACCAAAACAGTTCTCATTGTTTAAGATGAGGATGAAAGAGTTTCATCTGCTCATCATCTAAATGTTTGGGTTCATGCCCACAGTAGAACCTTGTTTATTTCTGATTTTTTTTTTCCTGTTAATTAAAAAACAAAATTTTAATTTGAGCTTTTATCTTTATAGGATATTTGGATATTTGAGAGTATTTGATAGAATATTTCAATAATTAAAATATTTGACAGCTGCAGCCACAGACTTGTATCTGGTCATGTGACTGGATATGTGTTTACATGTGTCCCTGTGTCTTAAGTGTGCAGTGTTTTATTCTTCTGTTTAGCCTATTTCTTATTCCTTTCAGCTACAGTTAGTATGATGAGTAAAAAGGCCACAGAACCTGTGATTGGTTTAAAGCAGCGCTGTCCAAAATTTTGCTCAAAGACCAAAGTTGGCGTCACCCTAGCCCCACCCCCTCGCCTAATAAGAGAGCATTTTTTATGCTGTATAAAGCTTTGAAAATTCTTATTTTACTTTTGTATTTGTATTTTTGAAGTACAGACAGTAGTGCAGTGTTATATAATCCATTTTTAAAGACATTTCACATTGATCCCCCCAAGACAAAGTTTGGGCACCCCTGGTCTAAAGTGATTTATTTTTTTTTTGTGTTATACCTTCACTGAACAGCTAACAGTTCTCATGTAAATTTGCTTGGTTACATGTAATTTTCATACATTTATTCACAGATTGGGAATTTTTTGTTTTATTCAAAATTTAATATAGTAAATTCTGTGATGAGCTCACTTTTCAGCCATGTGGTTGGATCGACTGAAAAGATTCCTTCAAATTTGTGCTCAGGCGAACCCACAGAACATACGGACCAAAGTAAATTCGTCGTTTCAGATGTGGACAGTAATGAGTTAAGCGGTTTGATGTTTTTCCCCTTCTCTCCCAAACGAGGGAGACTGTCGAGTTCGCACACAGTAACGTAGTGTGTGATCAGGCAGTGATATCACAGTCTCATGACAGCGGGCGTGTTAGTGGTCCCGGGCCTTGAGACAAAGAGGGAGAGAGAGGGAAGAAAAGAGGGGCAGGGAGAGAGAGGCAGACTGTGGGAACAACGCCACTCTGCATTCCTCCTCAGCCTTATCGCTCCATGTTCAACCCCAAACTTCCACAAAGAGCTCCTTAATTAGCCTTCATTAGGGCTGCCAGCAGCCTGCCAGCGCTCCAGCTGCTCCTGCCTGCCTTCTAGAATCAAGTAAATGGAGAAGGGAAAAAAACACCACACATTGCATAAGTGTGTCTATTAATTTATTTTTTATTTGTATAATCATGCATCACACTTTCCAGGGGAGCTTTCGTCGAAGTCTCAGCCCAAAGTATGATCACCGAGGGTGGATAGCAGAGCAGTGGCCATCACGTTTGCTCTGTTATATAATGCTAAATTATCTTGGAAGGGTGAGGGGATTGAGTTTAGAAGCCTGCATGCACAGAACCTAACAAGACCTCATAGATACACTGAAAAATGTAGGGTGTACTGGAGAGACGGCACGATACCACTGTACCGATACTGATACTGAAACCATGAGTATCAGCTGACAGCGGTGAACAGTATGGCAGAAGTATGGTGTCACGATACTCGAAGACGTTTTCACAATACATGATGTCACGATAATTAGGCCCAGGCCTATTTTTTCTTTCTTCTACTAGCGCTGCTCTGTAGGCGACCCTGCCTGGCTGCAGTGACGGCAGAGGGGGGTAAAGTTCAGCTCCTCACTGCTGGGCTTTAGTTACATTTAGGGCATCATATTCCTTCAAAGAGGGGGGCAATTATTTATTATCGCCCACTCCTAATTCATTGGTGATACGAAGCTGAAGTCAGATATTCACCAGATTCTTGTTCAGATTTTCCCGTTCCACCTTAAATGGAGCAGCAGTTACATTCTGGTGCGTCAGGCGTCAGAACTGCTGGAATATTTAAGGTGGAACGGGAAAGTTAGCTAGCTAGCTACCGAGACATTAGCATGGTATTAGCGATTTTTTTTATGCTTGTTATGAAGAAAAGGACCATAATACACTGAAGCTACATTAAACTAAGGTAAAACAGTGGTTATCGGAATTTTTAACGGAGAAAATTCTCACATTTGTGGGTTTCTTTGGTCTCTTGTTCAGCCAGCTTGCCGGCTCTTCTTTTTTTCTCATATCACTCTGTTTGGAGTCTCTGAAAAACCTCTGTTTGGAGGGCCATGTAGCCCCAACACTTCACACTACCCCTCGGGACACCCTACTCCTAGACATGAATGCGCAAAACAGAGGGCTGAGTGCTAAGTGGTAGGGGTGAGGGGTGGAATGGGACTGGGCCTTCTGAGTTATTCTGAGGTTTGATAAGTTGGAACAGATAAAAAAGTCTATATTAAAATATAGTGTATATATATATATATATATGTATATATATATATTCCCCCATAAAAAACACTGAGTAGTTTGGAGTCAGATTGAGATCAGCTTAGTGTCACTGTCTCCGTCACTGCTGTGCTCCATACTGTTAGTATTTGGTTGTCTTAACAGGGGTTTGTTGGAGGAAGCAGACGCGCCGTTTAGTCTTCATTGAAAATCATTGTTAATCAAATACAGAAATAAATAAAAGGTTAAATAAATGAAATAAAATAAACCGAAGTATGAAAATGTCAGCTAAATGTAGCCCTGCTGCACTTCTGTTTATGGGATATGATTTCTTCTCCCATTTCGTTATTAATTTTTATACTTATTTTTCTTACTTTATTTTTTATTACTTTAAGTTTTTAGAATTTAACTTTCCTTCCTTTTCTCAGTGTTTTTACTTTCTGTTTTTCCCCTTATGCTGGCACTTATTTGCCTTCATCATTGTAAAGAACTTTGAGCTGAATTTTAATGTAAGAAAGGTCCTTTATTATCAGTTTATTTATATGTATTTATATTTACAGTGATGTTTGACTAGACCTGCTGAATAAACAAGAGAAGTTATGTTTGACACTGACAATATCCACCACATGCTCAGTAAAGCATGTTGTGACATCATTTATTGGTCACACTTTATTTGGATGGTCCCCCATAGATGATCTACAGATACTTATATTAACTGTCTGGTGATACTTAGTTGATTATCAACAACATTAAGGTTAGGGTTGGGTTTAGGGATGGAGTTAGAGTTATTACAGCTTTTCTCACACAACTTCAAGTTCAGTTGCATTTAATAGATATTTAATTGAATCTCAGTTAAAAATAGACTGATCATAGACTGAAGCATCTACAGTGGACCATCCAAACAAAGTGTTACCTTTGTCATGTTAAGTATACAATATAGTCAGGTTGCCCACCCTTATTGGCTGATACAAACTCCAATGCAACCCCCGCCCCCCCAAAAAAACCTCTAGTCTTATACGAAGCCTTGGCTTTGTTTATTTATTTACCTCTTCCACAATAAACGTAGTGCCGCTTACTGTGAAATTGCACTTCTGAAAGATGAAAAATACTTAAACATGCCAAATATAACAAATCAGTTACGTTACAGAATCTGATCGGACGTATTAATTCTTTTTTTCTCCTGTCTGTTGCAGCATTTTCTGCCGATAGCGATACTATTGAATCAGTACGTTCTTTAGTTTACTCTGATTATGGGTGTGAGTTAGAGTGGGCGTCCGTCTGTGTGCAGAGTGCCTTGAGTGTCCTTAATGGTGAGCTTTTGGCCAGGTATGCTTTAGGGGCTGCATAGGTGCTATAGAGCAGCAGTTTTGTTCAGAAAGGCCCTGCAGTGCCAGCGAGGCTGTTGGTGGTGTGCAAGCTTTATAGGTGTTTTTAAATCCAGATTAACAGCACATTTGTTTAGGTAAGCATTGACTATTGCAGCTTATTTATGCCTCCAGTCTGTAATTGTGCTGTTGTTTTTTTTTTTAGAGTGAAGTATTAATCTTTCCATTTCTTACATGTATCACAGTGTAAAGACAGATTTCTATATAAAGTGATGCTGCTGCCGATGCTGCTGCTATTTGTATAATTATTACTCATTAGCCAGCTGCAAGCTTGCTAAGTTATTTATATATTTTTTTTAATGCCAGCAATATTAGATCTATGTTTGTTACAAGGAAACAATATTTATATCTTTATTTACATCAATCAGGCATAACATTATGACCACCTTGTTGAGTTTTTAAACACTGTGTCCACTCACTGTCCACTCTATTAGACACTCCTACCTTATCAGTCCACCTTGTAGATGTAAAGTCAGAGACGATAGCTCATCTGCTGCTGCACAGTTTGTGTTGGTCATCCTCTAGTCCTTCATCAGTGGTCACAGGACGCTGCCCACAGGACGCTGCTGGCTGGATATTTTTGGTTGGTGGACTATTCTCAGTCCAGCAGTGATACTGAGGTGTTTAAAAACTCTGCTGATCCACTCAGACCAGCGCAACACACACTAACACACCACCACCACATCAGTGTTACTGCAGTGCTGAGAATGATCCACCACCCAAATAGTACCTGCTCTGTGAGGGTCCATGGGGGTCCTGAGCACTGAAGAACAGGGTAAAAGGGGGCTAACAAAGTATGCAGAGAAACAGATGGACTACAGTCTGTAACTGTAGAACTACAAAGTGCACCTATATAGTAAGAGGAGCTGATAAAATGGACAATGAGCGTAGAAACAAGGAGGAGGTCAGAATGTTATGCCTGATTCGTGTAGATCCCTAAACCACATTTACTGAGACATGGAACTTTTTTTTGGTAAATGTTTTTACAAATATTACAAGTAGTTGTGACAGTGCGGTACCTATGATGGCTTTAGTATGATATCCCTAATACTGTATTAGTCCAGTGTCTTCTAACACTTTTATCTGCTAATATGTGCTAATATTCCTGTGTTTTTTCTTTAGGATAAAGATAAAGGCTCGTCAAACAAAACTCCTAAATCAGACCGCAGCGATGGCGTCAAAGAGATGAAAGAGAAGGCTCCTAAGAGGAAGCTGCCCTTCACCGTCGGAGCCAATGGAGACCAGAAAGATTCTGACTCAGGTAAGGAGGCGGAGCCTGCCAGGGAATTGTGGGTAGGGGGAAGAAGGAAGGCTAGTGTTTGTGTAAGGGGCTGTAGTGTGTTTTTGTCTGTGTGCTGGGCTGAGGAAAATCATGATATCACAAACATAACTCCATTAAGCGGGGATCTGCTGGACATGAGGGGATGAGAAGGTTTCGGGTAAGGCGTTCACCTCTTGTTTTCTTTAATAAAAGAGCAAGGGCCACCGCTCTGCTCTCATGTTTGGGCTTAGCTTAGCAGATCGTGGAGTTATTTGTTGGTAATGGGTAGTTCAGACGTGTTTCTTAATGAAATCCTGATCCTCTAGAGCCAGATTGGGCTTAGATTAAGTCGTTTAGTGTGTCGTTTGGGGACTTGTCCGCTTTGTAGCTCTGAGCAAGACTTTAAAGGGTTTTTTTTTGTGCTGTTGCTAGTTATACACATATTGACAGTGAGTTAATTAATCTGAGGGGTATTTTTACAGCAGGATTTTCTTAATTAGCCAGATAACGTAAGCCAGATGTCAAGGCTGTGCATTCCTAATGGATAATAATCACTTCAGGCCTAAATTTTTGTGAATATTGTGAAATAAGCTCCTTGGTCAGTGATGGCCTTTTGAACGTAAAGTGGTTGTGTTTGTTGCTCCGTATACTAAGGCTGAACAATCTGTGGGAAAATTTGTAGTTGCAGTTTTTCACAATTTGTCATTTAAATGAGATTATTTTCTCATTTTTCTCCACTTAAGACAGCTGTGAATAATCTAGCAGGCAGTTAAAATTAGGGATACGTGATGAGGTCAGGGTCATATCAGTATCTGCGAATATGTGCTCAAAACATAGATCGTCATCAGACAGATGTTTAGACTTGAGTAATATATTTGAAATCAATATTAAATTTTGTGTTTATTTTTAAATCTTTAGGCCACTTTGTTCTGGTATTTGTTTTGTATTCATTTTACTGCATTTTTAGCCCCTAAAAATGTGCATCACCTTTCTCTGTAATGCTAATCCAGCTGGGTCTAGTTCAAATTTCTACATTTTATGCATGTTTATGTAGTGGCATTGCCAGATACGTAAACGTCAGATATCAGCATTAGTTCAGAATTCCCAAAAAGGTATATCGCAAATTAAAATAGCCGCTTTTGCGATTCGAGAAATTGCACTTGTGATTTCGCTATTTAAAAGTGATCAGTCGTTCAGCTCTAGTATTTACACATTAAGAGTACATGTGACTGTGTTTTCTGGTCAAGTTGTTCTTTTCCAGACTGGGATCAGCCTCCGTAACCTTTTATCAGGCCGTTGGCACTCCCCCTCTTTTGTATGGAGTAGCCGTTAAGCGTGAAATCTTCCCTTTTTTCACCCTCTTCAGACAATGCCTAGAGTGCTCATTGTCATGCTAATGGGGGGTGGGGCCCCTCCACCTTTTTCGCTGGCCTACTGCATGTCTGTCACTTTCACTGCCTTTCTCCTCTCGAATTATGCCATTGTGTGAGATTATGCACTCCCATATTTTCACCCCGGGTGTGTGAGCGAGCGCGTCAGCCATTCATTCACAATAATTTACAAGACGCCATTCAGCTTTTGCGTTCATTACACTTTAGTGTACCCATTTCCTCTTTCTTTACTGTTGTAGTATGTTAAAGAAATTCAGGTTCACACCTCTGAGTTTTGTTGCTCTTTGGTTTGTAGGAGACCAGGGCCGGTAGCTGAGTCCTCTTATTTGGTTTCTACTTGGAAAGTAACAGTGGTAAATGGTTAAACTGGGTTGGCTGGGGAGGAGGAGGTTTGCATCCGACTTTGGATTTACTGGTTTTTTTGCTTTATCCTTTGCTTTACCTTTTGTTTATTTCCACATACGTTATTTCACATGCATAGCAAAGGTGGTGCCTTGCACTGCAGTGTATGTGGGACCAAACTAAATGAGCTAAAGCTTAATCTTTCTAAAATAAAGTGGCCTGAATTTGTCTTAAAATGTCTAACATATTGACCGGTTCTCATACCGACAGCACCAAGCGCATCTAACAAGCACGTCTAATCAGCTGCATCTCATCTATTTTAAGTGAAATAAATCACTGTTGTTGGCAGAAAACCTTGTATCTGCATTTTGTCGTATTTCAGTTTTTGACATAATTTGAAAATACCAGTTAGTCTTTACATTGTTTGTAAATTTCATGATGAATGGACAAAAAGAAATGACCCAAAATGACTCGGGAAAAAAGTCTGGTTCCTTTGAAATTAAAAATGGAGTAGGTTTCCATCTCCTGAGAAGTTCTGATTTTGGAGATTCAAGGTTTTTCTTCTGACAACGGCTAAATGTAGTATTACAGAAAAAACTCCACCAGTTCCATCCAAATTTGTGCAGAGTTCAAGTAATAAAATATAAACAGTCAGAGTCATTTGGTTCTAGAGAAACTTCAAAAGGGACCAGATGTCTGAAAAGTTTAATGGCTCTGAAAGCTCCCTCACAGAAAGAAATGACATGAAATGGTAATGAATTCACTGCCTGATGTCTCAGACTTGGTTTTAAAATAATTTTAAGAGAACGTTTTGGCCTAAAATGTATTAATTTTAAAATATGTCCATGGCAGAGAGGTGCCTGCGTGGTGGTGTGAGGCAAAACAGACTCCAAAGAAACTTAGGTTTTCCAGATTTACCACTATTTTACCACCATGAACATTTCATATAAAAAGTCCGAAAATGTGTAGGTTCACTGGTAATTGTGGATTGTAAATAAACTGGCTGTAATTGTGTTGTAGACAACTGAATTTGTAGTTCCTGTCACCACCAACATAAAGAAAACTACGGTTCCTACAGTGCACCATTTCACCTCAGACTACTCTGAATGACTTTATATGCATCTTAATAATTGAGATGTACAGAAACTTTGAGAAATTGGTGGAGTTTTCCTTTAATGTAAGAAATCACATCACCCAACATGTTAAAAAATTAGTTTTTAAAGCAGCCGTACAAGTTTTTACCGTGCCTAAGGGCGGTTACTGTGGTAACTTGGTTGACTGTCACCAGGCAAGGCCTAGTTTGTAGCACTGTTGTTACTCAGCACAACTCTGCCCTTTCTAGTGTTTTGGTTTTGGTCTGTTTTTTTATGCTAAGTCATTGTCACTCGACCATGGAATATTTGTGATGGTTGGCACAATTCCTCTCCTCTCTGTTTGATGCTTTGAGTCATGATACTAGGGTGTGTGTGTGTGTGTGTGTGTGTGTGTGGTGTGTGTGTGTGTGTGTAGTCCTGTTTACCTCTCTTGCTTCCTCTCCCAGTGGGATATGTGCCAGTTCAGGCCTGTAACCTTTGCGCCATATCCACCGCGAGCACACACGGACACACCTCCCAGTGACTAATCTTAAGTTCTGTACACATGTGCCAGTGGCATAATTTTTCCATTGAGCTTAATTATGAACAGACACATGCCTTAATCTGTGAAAAAAAGGCCATTTACTGCAGACTGCCATTCCCAGGCCAGGGAGAGGAGAGAGTCTGCCTTTTATTATGTAACGAACCGGGGTGATTAGCAGTGCACTCTTTGACTCATCGGCCCTGATTTAGCTCAAAGAATGAAAACAAGAACCGGTTCACTGCTGCATAGGTTTTTATTCTCTTTAAATACCTCGCGCTTAGGGTTGTCTCGATGCCAGAGGTTTGATTTCAGTATAGATACCAAGTGTAGAATCGCAGTGCTTGATACCAAACGATACTCAAAAAAAGTCACAAAAAAAAAAGCCCAGCTGTTATGATGTGAACTTGGTGCTAACTTATTTAAATAAAGGACTGAGAGTTTTGAAAGTCAGTGTTGTTTACCCAGTTACTGTATTCAGAAGTACTGAACATTTGATACTCGGTGTAACTGTACTAGACCAGTGATACCCTTTCATCATTCTAAGCCAAAAAAGACTGGCTGCGGGAGCAAAAGCACCGAATCACAGCAAAGAAAAAGGGCTCCAACTACTGCGGTTACATTTTATATATATATATATATGTCAGCGTCAGCACTGGCAGATACGTGATGAAAAATATCAGATATTGCCGTCATCCCAAAATCCCCATGTTTGTGTTGTATCAACATTATAGGATTTTTAGCTGGGTGTGCTACACATTTGCCGCATTGGCTTGTCAGAAGAACTTTGCCTGAAGCAGACTGTTCTGTAGCCTCTTACGAGAACATATTTATGCCTATTACTGTTACTGAGCTTATGATGTAGACAAATGACTTCATTCGTTGCCAGAGAGCAGTCGGACGCTTGGCAGATGGTTTGGTTTTGGCCAGCAATGATATCATCTCCAGTACGTTTGCTAGCCATCGGATATGATGTTTTTGCTAACTTTGCTGACTCAACTCTTAGTAACAGAAGCCACAGCTGAGGTAACCTTAAACATTCAAATGCACGTCTGCCTTTGAATGTGCATTTTTCCATTGACTTTGAAGAATGTCAGTATCAGAACTCTTTAATCTCCATTTCAGTTGGATAAAAAAAAAAAAATTCAGTGATATATACAAAACACTACACTTGACAATAAAACAGGAGTATAAATTGAGTATGGTTACCCCCTACGTGAGGCGTGACGTGAGGCATGAATATAGAATCAGAAACAGTGATATGTTGCTTATTTTGAAAAAGTCCCAAAATACTGCCTACATATACAAAAGTCTACACTTTACAATAAAACAGTAGTATAAATGAAGTATGGTTACCCCCTACGTGAGACGTTGACGTGAGATAATATACAAAACACTACACTTGACAATAAAACAGCAGTATAAGTGAAGTATGGTTACAACCTGCGTGAGACGTTGACATGAGACGTGACATGAGACGATATACAAAACACTACACTTGACAATAAAACAGGAGTATAAATGAAGTATGGTTACCCCCTACGTGAGACGTTGACGTGAGATGTGACGTGAGATAATATACAAAACACTACACTTGACAATAAAACAGCAGTGTAAGTATGGTTACAACCTGCGTGAGATGTTGAGACGATA